TGTTTGTAATGACAGATTATGATTAATTAGCGTCGCTGGGAAAAAATAATTTTATATTATAAAGCGCACTAGCTAAGCATAGTATCAAACATTAAAAGCCTTGCATGATATTTCCTTTATAGTGTCTGCATAATAACTGAGCTATGTCGGTAGTATTCAATAAATATACTTACCCAGCTAATGACGTCACACGTTGTGCTGAATCAGCAATTTATATTTTGCAAATTTTTGCGTATAACTTCGGAACTAGGTGAGATAGAATAGAGCATTAAACGGCCAATCGGCTTATTTTTTCATGCCTAATTTTTGTTATGGGTTCGAAACAAAGTTGATTATTCCTCGGTTAGAGCAGGATGAATATTATTCTTTAATGAAGGAAATAAATTGTGGCAATGACTCGATCATTAGCTAATAATTAATGAACCTTGAACAATTTAAATATTAATTTTCTAAAGGCATTGTGTCGGAACATTTATAAGTCAGAGTAGAACGGTAGATTAGTTGTTGTTGTAAATAGTTCGGTACGTTTTCTACCGTTTTTTATCTGTAATACGAAAACGTTCAACGAATAAATATTAGTAAGAGACGCGTGAGGAACAAGCCAATTTTAACGTGTGTACAGTATAACGAAAACGGGAATCGCTAAACGGCCGTAACATTAGTAGAAAACTAGAACTGTAAACCGAGACAACATCCGCGATATGCAACGCTGATTACAACGTTAAACGATAAAATGTCGACCTATACATCGACTGATATGGAGATTGAACTTGTAGATAGTGGCGACGAAGAACGAGGCCGAAGGCTACGGAAACCCACATCAAAAGGGAAAGCTTACAACGTACAACGAAAGCGCAGAACCTGTATTAACGTTCAGACGAAGATAACGAAGCACATAAATAGGATAAACTTAGTTACTTGTAGCTATGATAATTGTCATATTATTAAGCAAGAGTTGGATGTACTTGTCGCCTTAAACGCCGAATTAAAGGAAGCGTTTCAATTATGGCGTATGGAGTTAACAATGGAAGAAGAGATAGCTGATGCGTTGGCATGGTATGACGAACAATGCGAAAGAAATTCTCGTTTCACGATTGAAATCGAACAATGGATTACCAGTGCGAAGCAAAATATTGAAGAACAAATGGACAAAAGATCTTTTAGTTCGCGTCATTCGTCCAGAACTAAAAGCAGCAGTTCTTCGGAGAGTTCAAGCCAAGCAAGAGTTAAAGAACGAATTAAAGTGGTTGAGTTACGCGCTAAAGCTGCAACGCTTGAAAGAAAACAGAAGCTTGAAAACGAGGCAGAAAAACTACGTTTGGAGGAAGAAATTGCGATAGCTGAGGGTCGAGAAGAAATGCTTTTGAAGTTTGAGCAAGAGATGAGCCGGAACGACGATATGAATCAATATCACGAACAGTATGCGAAATCTAACTCAACGCCTTATGACATAATGACTCCGTCATTCGCCCCGAATATTCCTTCTACGTCATTCGCCCCAAGTATTCCTTCTACGTCATTCGCCCCGAATATTCCTTCTACGTCATTCGCCCCGAATATTCCTTCTACGTCATTCGCCCCGAGTATTCCTTCTACGTCATTCGCCCCGAATATTCCTTCTACGTCATTCGCCCCGAATATTCCTTCTACGTCATTCGCCCCGAGTATTCCTTCTACGTCATTCGCCCCGAATATTCCTTCTACGTCATTCGCCCCGAGTATTCCTTCTACGTCATTCGCCCCGAATGTTCCTTCTACGTCATTCGCCCCGAGTATTCCATCTACGTCATTCGCCCCGAATATTCGTTCTACGTCGTTCGTCCCGAATATTCCTTCTACGTCATTTACCCCGAATATTCCTTCTACGTCATTCGCCCCGAATGTTCCTTTTACGTCATTCATTTCGAACATTCCTTCCACACCATTTGTCTCAAATATCTCTGGAACAGTGTTTCCTGCGAAGACACAGGCGTCGAGGTTCACTCCGAATGTTCGTGCACCTATATTCACTCCAAACATTCCTGCAACAAATGCTGCAAGCAAAAGATCCGTGACTTTTGTCAATGAGCATCGGCAGAGTCTTCCAACATACTCACCACCGTCGTTTTCACAAACCGATTCAGCATCACCTATTATTACCTCATCCTACCCTGGTTTGCGTCATACCAACCCTGGTCCTCGTCTGTCGCCAAGAGTCACTAGTACACCCTGGGATCAAACCATTTCTACGCAAGCAAGGATCAGCAACGAACCATCCGTTGTCTATCAACCATCCTTTGAATCAAGAATACCGGTACCTTTACCGACAACTGCTAACCGTGTGCAACCGGAAGCATGGGAACAAGCTAGTCAAGTGTCGATTCCAAGAACCAATGAAGACCAGTTTGGCGTGTTGATCGAGAAGCAGTGCAACCTTACCGAGATGATCATGCAACAAAATCAACGAAGTCTTATTCCACGTCTTGCATTGTCTAAGTTCTCTGGAGACCCCACAGAGTACAATATTTTCATTCAAGGTTTTAACTCGCAGTTCCATAATAAGCTGAACTCTAACTCAGATCGTTTACGATATCTAGATCAGTACCTCGAAGGCGAAGCTAAAGAATTGGTCAAAGGATGTCATTACATGGATCCTGACATTGGTTATGCAGAGGCGAGAAGGCTGATTGACGAGAAATATGGTGATCCGTACAACATTTCTAATGCATTTATTAAGAAGATGCCTGAATGGCCAATGCTTAAACCCGGTGATGATGATGGCTTAAACCGATTTTCTACCTTCCTAACGCAGTGTTGCAGTGCTATGAAATCGTTGTCGTATTTAACTATATTGGATCATCCGCACAACTTGCAAACCTTGGTCAAGAAGTTACCATTCCACCTTCAAGATCGATGGAGACGTGTCGCAAGTAAAGCGAGAGTCGGACATAGGAATATGCCAAGCTTCGACTCGTTTGCTAATTTCATTAAAGACGAAGCTAAAGTGGCAACAGATCCAATCTTTTCTCGAGAAGCTCTGAGAGTTCAAAGTTCTGACGGAGTAAACAACAAACGCAAGCCCCCAAATTATAAAGTAAGAACTAACGCAAGTAAAGTGGAATCTTGTATCCACTGTAAAAAGGAACATGACTTGAACGATTGTGATGAATCATGTTTCGCTCACTACTCTGGTTTAAATAAATGATTACAAAGCCCAGTCGAACTGTAATCAAGACCCAACGTTTCGACACTCCAGTCTAGTGTCTTCATCAGGGGTGATCTAAAACTGCGATCGTGGCTTCTTAAATACCCAAGGGATGACGTCACCTGCCAAGAAGATGCATATATTCTTCTGGCAAATAGGCGCCGTCATCCCTATTCAAGGCATGATGACTCATATTTATATGCCACGCTTCTAGGCAAAGTCTTTGACCATAGCGATTGTTTGTGGTAATTACTTTAGAGTTTTCCCACGCAATCTCGTGTTTGGTGTAACATACATGTTCGGCTAAAGCTGATTTTCCCTTGTCTAAAGTTGTTTATCTGCGATAAAGAGTATTTGGGTCAGTCTAAACGCCAGTTTGGTACACGGCTAAAAGAACATCAAAAGGCTGTTTCAACTTTAGACAAGGGAAAATCAGCTTTAGCCGAACATGTATGTTACACCAAACACGAGATTGCGTGGGAAAACTCTAAAGTAATTACCACAAACAATCGCTATGGTTAAAGACTTTGCCTAGAAGCGTGGCATATAAATATGAGTCATCATGCTTTGAATAGGGATGACGGCGCCTATTTGCCAGAAGAATATATGCATCTTCTTGGCAGGTGACGTCATCCCTTGGGTATTTAAGAAGCCACGATCGCAGTTTTAGATCACCCCTGATGAAGACACTTAGACTGGAGTGTCGAAACGTTGGGTCTTGATTACAATTCGACTGGGCTTTGTAATCATTTATTTAAACCAGAGTAGCGAGCGAAACATGATATTAAATTCCTTATTTTTGTAAATTTATATTATCCAAATATTTTTGAAGTAATCATCGATAAACTACCTTTTTGAGCGAGGTTCATCAATGTAAATATAGTTTTATGGTATATAGCTTAAAGTTATTGATTAATTTGTCAGAAACCGTTATATTAATTGTCTCGGTAACTGTGATATTACAGTGATACTATGGCATTACGGTCGATTAGTGATGAAATGTCCCTCAAGCCTAGAGATTTAGTTTAATAAACCTTCGGACACATTTAATCACTAATCCACCTGAATTCCATGATATTACTTTTAAATCTTACAGCCTAAAGATTCATTAATAAAAAAATGTTAAAAATGAATTACTTGAAATTGGAGATTTTACCAGACTAAACCGGTCGGTCACATGTCCAGTCATAAAAAGCTTTCATAAAACATGTGGGCGGACAATGTCCGATGACTGACACTAAATCGCAAGCCCGCCTGTGTGCTAGTGGGTTTGAGTTAACGGAGCAGCAAATGATGGCGAACGTCAGTACTGTTGAAGAAAAGAAGTAAATAAAACTACACACCTCTCTTTGTTTTCAAATACAAGATTACTGCATATAATAAACGCTTATAACTGCAAGTTGCATGACCATGATCTGCTGTTTCATCACATAGAAATAAAATGTTCAGTGGCGGCGCCGGGGG